TAAACTACAATATACTGAAATACTCAACGAAGGTGATATTTGATGAAACATAACAATTAAGGAAAACGCGTAAAACTAATCGCTGTAAGGTCGTACGTTGCTCGATTGTTAGCAATGTTAGCACAAAATAATGACTGAATTACCTAACGCACGTTATTATCTCAGACACGAGGCGTAGAGCAGACGTTCGTGTCTTAACACGTCGGAACGGATACGTTATCTTTGTTACAGAAGTATTGAAGGATTAATGTTGAACGAAGCGGCAGCTGCGCCGTGTAAACAAGGTGAAGCATTGTCTAGTACTGTGCTACGAATACCTATGTAGAGTTTGAAACATGATTTTAAAAACTGGCCATAGTGATTTCAAGCAAAATACTGAGTTTTATTGAATCGCTTAAAAGTGAAATTTGGAGATACAACGACTGTGAATAGGTAAAAAAATCGATAGAAACATCTTTATTAACTCTTAAAAGATATATAAAATAGTTGATGTAATAATTATTATATGGGATCTGTAATTCGCAGTCTTCATATATTTTATTTTCATGATATTAGTGTATTTGCTAACAGGATATTTGCTTTGTCTATAGCTTAACACTTAACTGCTTAACAGTACGTTTTAAAACTTTTAAAAAGGCATTTCTCTTGTTATTCTTATACTCAGAGATCTTAATTGACCACACCATTCGTTTTTGAGTGTTTGCTTGTTTTTTTTCTATTTTGTTTAACCTCTTATACTTATGTCCTTAATAAAGATATTAAGTAATGTGATGACTTCATCGAATATCAATTTATTTACATATATAATTTCTTTAATGATCTCTTGAATGAGTCATTTATAAATAACCGGTAAATATGGATAGTGCCCACATCTATGTATTTGTGAATTAATTTTGATTGTTATTGTTTCATTGTCACTTCTCTCTGATATAGTAGGACATTGTAGGCTTTGATTATGGTACGTTTCTGGACTTAATACGTGTCTAGGATTACGAAGTTTTAACGATTTAATGAAACGTTATGTAAGCTGCTATTGTTTTTAACGATGAGCAAAATGTGAGCCTTCTTTGCGGCCTTTTTTAGGATTAGTTGTTGCTGTGTGAAAGGATAAAGATGGCTTTGGTAAACAATAACTTAATTGTTTTATATTGTTTAGCAATGAGAGTCTTTTATAGCAGTATAATTTGTCTTAATGATATCAGTCAAAGAGGGTATTGAGATGACTCAAAAACGGATGTCCATGGGCGTCGTTGACCACCTCGGTGTTCTCGGTAACAAAGACCACTGGGACTATTTTAAGAATAATTGCTACAAAAGTAATTTATCTGTGAGTAACATAAATATGTTTTTTAATTTTCGATCGAATTCGCAAGCAACAGCTTCGTATAATTTTGTCCCAATAACCTACCAACTTATGAAGTGAATTTTAAAAATATGTCTTGTGCGTCCGTACGTGTTCTTGTGCATGTATGTGAAAGCACGAAGGTAGAACAGGATGCGCGGTGAGCTGAGTCACGGCCGGCGCACGCGCAGGTAACGCTATACTAGCGCGAGTTTGATAATCGCGCACGTGAATGACTCATGCCCTTTTTGCCCGCCGCTCTGCTTAATTGTGCTGCGATCCGCATTATCAATACATACTTTGAATTACTATGACTACGTGCAAGAATCTTAGAGAAAACCTTGCATGGTTTGCTTGCTTACTCTTGTTTAGTACAACTATTTATGCGTTTGCGAATTTAGTTATGTTTTTACTACGTTTGCCCGCGACTCTGTTCGGGTGGCAAAAAGTGAGTAGCCTATGGTATGTGTTCTTCCAGGCTATCATTTTCCGTCTATGCCAAGTTTCATCGAAATCAGTTCAGCCCTTTAGGTTACAAACTCTAACAAACATCCATCCTTCCATCCATCTATCCATCTAAACTTTCGCAGTTATAATATTAGTAAGAAGTAAGATAAACTAACTGGTTTCTCTAAAGTTGGATATGTCTAAGGTTTTGAAATTTGTTGCAATATCTTGTTGATTAAAATTGATTAGAAACTAAATCAAATGCAAAACGATATGTTTCAGTGTTTTTTTTTTATTGTTTGTAAACATAAACGCGTGACCCGAATTTAGTTATGAATGAAACGACTCATACCTTAGTCATAACTGAGCTGAGTCCACACGTAAGCGTAGAAAACCAGTGACTCAGTAAACTGGATGCAATTGATTACAAACCAACAGAACAAAACGCCACGTACTGAAATTAATACAATCAGTACTTACAATAAGCTTGTATGAAATTAGTAAAATGTTTAATGGTTACATAAGAAGTTCATTTATTCTACACTAGCTGTTCCTGTGCGGCTTCAACCGCTGTTATTGGTTATTGTCAAATTCTCAATTGCAAATGTCAAAATACCAATTACCTTACTATGGCAATCTAGCTTTCTTGCTGTTGGCAGCAGCTTATAGACATTTTACCACATTAGGGTTTTTATTCAATT